AAAAGTCTTGTGCAGCCCTACTTTGATTATTGTTCCCCCTTTGGGACACTTGTGGTAAGTTGCTAAGAGACAAGTTGCAAAGATTTCAGTCTCGTGCAGCAAGAGTCCTAACGGGTGCTAATTATGATACTCGCTCAGCTGATCTTCTCAACATGCTTTCTTGGGATACACTTGAAAATAGGCGGTCTGGTGCCAAGTCAGTATTAATGTATAAAATACTTAACGACCACACTGCGCCAGGTCTCCGGGGGTCATTCGTGAGAAGAGAAATAGATCAAACTAATTATCATCTTCGAAACACAGAAACTGATCTAACAATTCCTAAACCGAAACGAGAATTTCTTAAAAAAAGTTTTAAATATAGCGGCGCTATGCTCTGGAATCAACTCCCAAACGAAGCAAAATTGGCCGAGTCGCCTCATTCGTTTAAATCAATTGTTGGACAGCGACATGATTCCTAATTATTTGTATATAGTAACGTGTACAGTATGTGTGTACTAATATTTAGTTTAAATTTTCCTTTTAATGATTTTTAAGATCTAAACACGCCCCCCATGGAAACCAGCCTAGAGTTGATGGGGCTAGCGTGTTCTTCTTTCTGTTAATTTTAAATAAAGTATTACCTACCTACCTACCTAGGTTCCTCACGTTGCGGACAAGGTACCTCACGCTGCGGACAAGGTTCCTCACGCTGAGGACAAGGTACCTCACACTGAGGACAAGTTTCCTCAAGCTGAGGACAAGGTAAGTCACACTGAGGACATGGTATCTCACACTGAGGACAAGGTTCCTCACGCTGAGGACAAGGTTCCTCACGCTGACGACAAGGTTCCTCATGCTGACGACAAGCTACCTCACGCTGCGGACAAGGTCCCTCACGCTGGGGACAAGGTACCTCACACTGAGGACAAGGTTCCTCAAGATCAGGAGAAGGTAAGTCACACTGAGGACAAGGTACCTCACACTGTGGACAATGTCCCTCACACTGTGGACAATGTCCCTCAAGCTGAGGACAAGGTTCCCCACGATGAGGACAAGGTACCTCACACTGAGGAGAAGGAACCTCATACTGAGGACAAGGTACCTCACACTGAGGACAAGGTTCCTCATGCTGAGGACATGGTACCTCACACTGAGGACAAGGTTCCTCACGCTGAGGACAAGGTACCTCACACTGAGGACAAGGTTCCTCACGCTGAGGACAAGGTTCCTCACGCTGGGGACAAGGTACCTCTCGCAGCGGACAAGGTTCCTCACGCTGAGGACAAGGTACCTCACACTGAAGACAAGGTTCCTCAAGCTCAGGAGAAGGTAAGTCACACTGAGGACAAGGTACCTCACACTATGGACAAGGTACCTCAAGCTGAGGACAAGGTTCCTCACGATGAGGACAAGGTACCTCACACTGAGGACAAGGTTCCTCAAGCACAGGAGAAGGTAAGTCACACTGAGGACAAGGTACCTCACACTGTGGACAATGTCCCTCACACTGTGGACAATGTCCCTCAAGCTGAGGACAAGGTTGCCCACGATGAGGACAAGGTACCTCACACTGAGGAGAAGGAACCTCATACTGAGGACAAGGTACCTCACACTGAGGACAAGGTTCCTCATGCTGAGGACATGGTACCTCACACTGAGGACAAGATTCCTCAAACTGATGACAAGGTACATCACATTGAGGAAAAGGAACCT